GATAGAAGTCACGACAGCTCAAGTGGTTCAGCGGCGTATTTAACCGAAGATCGTGGGTTCGAATCCCGCTCGTGACACTGACTTTTTTTTATCTCGACCAATACCTTTCATAAAAATATTAATTAATTAAAAAATGTTAATTGGTCAATCGGACCACGAACTGTAATGGAGTTAATTTTTATTTGGTCATTATTCATGTGTTTAGCTTTAAAGTTAATTTTCTGTCCTTGAAGAGCTTGATATATTGGCTTCATATCAGTCACATTGCTTAGTACCATTGGGTACCACCAAGAGCGTTATGTGAGGCGTGAACCCGTCACACTTCATGAAGTTGAAGGTGGGGTAAGGTGGTGGTGGAATGAGTAGAGCGGAGTAAGGCTGTGGTGGCAAAGGTCGCTGTTAGACCGCATGAAGGTTGAAGGTGGGGTAAGGTGGAGGCTGGCCCAGAACAGGCCTTTACTATGTACTGGTGACTATGACAGTACTCAGTTATTGTCAGTTTCCATTGCTACTTGTCTTGTATTATCTTTTTATCAGTTAGTCTGATTTTTAGCCTATAAAAATGGACTATCGACGTAGGACCGCTATCACATACGGAATCGTTGCTACGTATACAGATTGGTCCATTCCTTTGCTAATAGTTTATCAACCATATGAAAAAAGTAACTAACCTTAAACTTACGAGGTGAAGATATAGATCGAAATCCAAACTACCGACCAGGACTAACACAGACCTAGTAGAATCTTCAATGTTGTAATTCTGATTGTCGCCACCAGGACATGTGAACCGATAGACTCCTTAAAGGTGGAGGCTGGCCCAGAACCGGCCTTTCTTATCTGCTGTCTATTTAATTTTAAAAATAGAGAAATTGAAAAAATAAAAAGATCTTTTAACAATAGTCCAAAAACTCCTGTTATATCGTCAAGCACTTTACGAGGCTTGGTATATATGCGGACTTGTTTCAGGTTACAAAAATGTCAATTCTTAAGGCTAAAGAAGTAAGTTAATGATCGAAAAATGCTAACCTATACATTTGTTTACGTCACCTTTATATAAACGAGACCGTTTAATATCTGTGTTCATTTGCCCCATCAGCGAATCCTAATAATATAATAAAGTTTTTTTTTTTTTTTTTTTGGCGTTATGAACTATGCATATTAGCCATGTGACAATTCGTATATGTGTGTTCAAATTTGGGGGGGGGGTTATTGTGAAAAAAGGGCCAGAGGCGACGGTGGGAATCGAACCCACGACCGCGGCGTGAGAGTCTCTCATGCTAACCACTCGGTTACCGCGGTCCCCTAATAAAGTATTTTTAAGGCATTTATTTCTTTCGGCTGAGTTGAATACCGTGAAGTTTAATTATCTGAAATAATGCCAATTGTCAAAGGGAAAGGGATAAATGAAAGGCCATTGATAAGTTTTGAAATGGAGGCGTCTGAAACCCAGTAGGCCTATTTCCCAGGGGCACAATAGCCCGATAAACCTTGGCTCTGAGATAAACCTTCGCTAAGCACCTTTTCAAAAAATAAAAAATATTCCTTTAAGAGATCAGTTTCTGTTCAGTTCTAAACTGATTCAGATTTACTCAGAGGAGGTATTTACAATTTTGGCTCGTCTCCAATGGCAAATCGCCTTTCTCTCAATTAGATAGTATAATTTTTATATCATAAAATATTAAACGGTTACAAAAATTAAAATATGTTGGCTTTTTGTCTTTCTTGATGTTAATAATTTGCCCTCTGTACTGTGTTCAAACAGTTTCGAGAAAACGAGGTCATCCGTGGAATCGATATGCATTCGGGGGCGGGGTGGCGAAACCATTGCGACCCAGACGCCGAGATCGTCATCCAATAATGTTTAAAAATGGACAAGTAAAAAAAGACGGAAGGAAAAACGAATCCTCATTTCATTTACAGAGAATTCTAATTTTGAATCTGTCATAAACGTGTAGACAAACTGAAAGTTCATCCACTTATCTGTAAAGTATTGAAAAAAAATTCAATTAGTTGAGAAAAGCCGTCTAAGTTATCGTTTACGGGACATCACTGTGTTAACACTTCATCTTTATTTTTCAAATGGAAATTAATGGAAAGTTCGTGAGCTGAAATTTGCATGCAATAAGACCTCCAAGGAATGCATATTCAAATCATGCTAATAATCTTATCAAGAAGGTTAATAATAATTTAATATGTTCAACAAATTTCGGTTTTATAATGTTATTTTGTCTGCATTTGTCTATATCCGTTTTGTGTTGTTTTCCTTTAAAAAAAAAAAAAAAAAAAAAAAAAAAAAAAAAAAAAAAAACTACTTTATTACGATTTATTTTCTAGTTATTTTGCCCAGCATTTGCTTGAAAAATATAATTTTGATGTAAGCAAATGTAAACAAATATTTGAGTGCAATTATTAAAAAATATTATTGAATTTGAGAAATTGCACATAACCATCACTAACCATCCATCTATTTAACTTTATCTCTTGATGGTGACTTGCTGTAACTGGCTGGAATGCTTCTTATCGGCGTGTTCATTTCCCTGTAAACCGAAGTACCCTGTCCTTCACGAGAGTAATGTTGAAGAGGGCGGATTTTTATTAATTTTTACCGTTGAGTTTTCATAGATGATAAACCCTAGGTACTTGTACAGTTTCGGTGTAGCCAATGACCAATGGCACACGATGTCTTTGCGCTGGAGAACATTAGACGTGGGACGATATCCTCTTCTCGTCTGATAAATTTTGATAGAAAAGTGTAAAAATATGTAAATGAATATTGCATCTTTTGGTTCGTAAATGTTTATATTAGACTTACAATTTTTTAAAATTAATTTTTATAATTATTCTGTTGAGTAAGTAAAAAGAGAAGGAGAGTGAGTAAGTTTCTTTTACAATTTGATTTTATACCCCTCAAGACTCTTGAAGCCACGTAGGAGTGAGAGTAAAGAGAGCAAAAAAGGGAGTGAAAGAGAGCGTGAGAGAGGGAGTATGTGTATGGTATGTAAAGATAGGCAGATAGACAGAGAATTGAGAGAGATACACAAACAGAGAAATATATAAAGGTGAAGTTTATTGGAGGCACATAACCATATAAAGGAAAAAATTATAGAAAAGAAAACGAGAGTGAGAGTGGGGAAGAGGGAGCGAAAGAGAAATCCGGACCGAGAGAGAGAGAGAGAGAGAGAGAGAGAGAGAGAGAGAGAGAGAGAGAGAGAGGAGAGAGATTAACCGGCTTAAAAATCGCTTGAAACGATTCTGAATTGTAAAAGATATATTGAATTGACCTACTTTAATTTTTTTTAAATTGTCTTACAGTTGTACATTCTTATGGAGGTAATTTCCTTTTTTACGATCCATAACTAATTTTATTTATCTACATAATAAAAATATATAAACATACTGTGTGTTTAAAACTAATGTCACACCAGTTATTCTCAAAATCAATCATAACCTGAACGTAATTTAAAATATTACAATCAATTAAGGTTTTTAGTTGAGATAAAAAGTCAATGGCACGAGCGGGATATGCCGCTGCTCTACCACCTGAGCTATCGTGACTTCAATCCGCTCGGGCACTAACTTCCCATCTCAACCTCACCTCTCGAATTTTCCCTCCTTTTTGCCAATTTTCAATGCAATTTTTTATCTCAACTAAAAACCTTAATTAATTGAAATATGTTAATTGGTCAAGCGGGCCACGAAACTAGTGAACTTGCTGTTTATCTTGACCACAAACCCGATAACTGTGAGCATTGAATTAGCGTTGATAATGTACCTAATGAATTCTCAAATCATGTTTTTCACGTATTTTGATGCATGGAGCACAATGAAATGACCACGGTCAAGCGGACCACGAAATTAGTGAATTTAATGATTTAAAATGAAGTATACTTCATTAAAGCTCTCCGTGGCCATTTCATTTGTCGTCGAGAATCCAATCAGATTACACGACATTTGAAAAATGGCAAAAAGGAGAGAAAATTCAAAAGGTGCGGTTGAGATGGCAAGTTAGTGACCGAGTGGATCGAGGTCACGATAACTCAAGTGGTAGAGCAGCGGCATATCTAGCCGAAGATCGTGTGTTCGAATCCCGCTCGTGCCATTGACTTTTTTATCTCAACTAAAAACCTTAATTAATTGTAATATATTAATTGATCAAGCAGACCACCAAATTAGTGATTTTAGTAATTTAAAATGATAACCTGCCATAATTTGTCGTGGAGAAATTAAAAACCTAACCAATTTCTAATTTTTGTACAGGATATTCCGACAATCGTTAAAATCGTGTGGCACTCAAGCTATGTTTCTAAGTAATTTTTATAATGAAAAAGATTGTTTGAAAATTAAGGAAAAGTAACAAATGTCGAAATTTTTGATCACAAGTACTTAAGTTTGCTTCGTTATTGAAACTTCAAAGTCCGCTTAAGCTTTTCGTGTCTGTTAATTTATGTCCCAGTGCAATGACTTGATACGTTCCTACAGGCACATTCATATATTTTATACCGGAAGTAATGGGCGGCACTGACACTTATCAAATGTCGTGTCAGACCGCACGTCCTAGAAGTTCTGCAATTTTTTTCCCATCACGCCAACGAAATACGAGCAACTGTCGCATTATCAGGTAGGAAAACGACTCCATTTCTATTCACCAATGCTCGCCTATCTTTGGTTTATGGCTTGGAAGACATTCGGTTCTCCTGTTCGTTATTACTATTTCTAAAGGAAAGATTCAAAGAGGAACTCACTAAGATAACTTTATACAATGTAGGTTTATATTAAAATATATGTGTGCGTGTTTGTTTGTACATTATTGCTTATTTTTTGACGGAAATTCCAAGCGTTTTCTTCAACAAGTTTCGACGCAGGATTTCCAAACTTTGAACATTCTTGTTGTTGAGAGATTGTATATTCCCCATTTCCTTATGTTTGTGATAATTCAATCGTAATCTTTTCTTAGTTTAAACTAATTGCAATGCAACGTAAAAATGTAATTTTAAATATACCTCCAGCGTTCCCCATCTTCCATCTTCGACACGTACGAGCTCGTAGGTGAAACCGAGCTCTTCTGCAAATTTTTCCAAAAGATCGACACAGAATCCGGAACAGCATTGGTAGTACGATCCGTTCAGGTGTGCAGTGGGAATATCAACCCTAAAACATAAATGTTTTTCAAAATAAACAAATATACAAATTAAGGGGTGAAGGGAAAAGAAACGGTAAGGCTAAATGAAAAAAAAAAAGATTTGCCTAATAGTTTAAAAAGGCGTTGCCAAATAAACTAAGGTTATGAACTCTTGCGATGCCCTTTCATTACCATCAGGTCCCTCTTTCAGGAAAATTTTAAAAGAAGGAAAAAGGTTTAAGGCGGTATTATTAAAAAGGCTCTCGACTTGGAAATGGAATTGGGACGAATCCATCATCCTTTCTCTAATATCTTCTCACTTCCTTTCCTTTTTTAAACGGTTTAAAGTTAAGTTAGATTAAACGCATAGCACCATGTTTTGTTCTGTTTGTCCCTAAATTTAGACAATTGTATAATCATTCGACCATCTACTAAAAACCTCCAGACATTCTTCAAACCCTACACAAATAAACTATTAATCGCCTGGGAAGACAAAACGATTGTACAAAATCCTTTCCACATCAGACAAAATAAAATATGGCGTACGAAATTTTTTTTCAAACGTCACGTGACTAACTTCGCCGAGAGGATCAAACAAGTTGTTACCTACTTTACAAATACAAAAAAGATATAATTTTTTTACAAATTAAAATCAGTTTTATTTTGTGAAACAAAAGTGGAATGTAAAATTGATAAATAGGTTTTAGTAAATGTTTGACTTAATGTGACACGAACAGGGAGGTTACAGATCCATGAAAAATTGAGGTGTAATGCTCCCGGAGTCGTAAATTGGTTAGCATGAGAGACTCTCACGCCGCGGTCGTGGGTTCGATTCCCACCGTTGCCCTTGGCCCTTTTTTCACAATAACCCCCCCCCAAATTTGAACACACATATANAAAAAAAAAAAAAAAAAGTCGAGTCTGCAGATTAACGTATCATGCCTAAATGAACTGCTTCCTTCGGCTTCAAATGGACAAAAGTTTTAACATTACAGCTATAAATCTTACATTACTCTCAATACACGATTACATGAAGTTTATGTGAAAAATTGTGTGATTTATTTGTACTGTGGCTTTTGAAATGGCTTTTCGGATTTGAACACTTATTTCTTCGCCTCATTCTCATGATTAATTTTCTGTGACAATTTAATTTTCTCCCTCTTCTTCTATTACTAATTCTTGTTTGTTTTCTCACTTTCATTATTTGTCGACTTTCACTTTTCATGTATTTTCTTTTTTACCTTATTTTAACTATTCTGGAATTTTCTGTACAGAAGGGATCATTAACTGTTTCTCCCAAATTTTGTACTACTTAATAAACCTTAAATATTTAAAATTTGTCCTGTTTGCTTTAGACTGACTGTTTTCGCTTTTGTGCTCGTATAATAAGCCATTTATATAAATTTATTCAATTAGATATCTGTTACTTATTAATTATTATTTCCATTTTATAATAATTATTTTTTTATTATCTATAAACTGCCCCTCAAAAAAATAAAAAATAAAATAAATTAAAAAAATGTAGAAAATGTTAAGCTGAACAAGACGGCTTTTTAAATGTTTTCCTACCTTCAGCCATTTCATAAATTTCAGAAATTCGAATACATTTTCATTTTTCTACTTTTTACGAAAAATCCTTGGAGCAAAAGGTGTAGAGCGTAAAGTTTGCCAAAATGACGGTTCGAAAGCAGTAAGTAAGCATTCCTGAAAATCAGGAGTAAGAGTGATCTGTTTTTTCCACGAGAACGCAAAATACGACTTTTTTTTTCCAAAAATCGTGAATAACTCGAAAACTGTTGAGAATTCGGGCAAAGTGGAAGGAGACAAATTGAAAGATTATTAAAATTTGCTAACGATTGCTCTAAAGCACGACGATTTCCTGGCTCCACAGCTCAATTTGAAGTTTTCATTAAAAAAAATTAACATGTTTCCGAATTTTTGAATTTACTGGTTAATGACTGAAGCAAGAAAAACATTTAAAATATATATATTTTAAATATGAAGATGATCTCAATAAAGATCGAAACGTTGGCACGATAAAGAAAATGTTTTTCTGAAACCTACATCACACCAGACCGCATCTCACGATTTCTGAATAATTATCGATTAACGGTCACTAATCACCACACGTTTAAAATATCATCTTATTCAGCGTAAAATTATCTAAAAAATGACTTAAAAGGCTGGGAAAATATGCATTTTCAAAGTTTGTTATTTTTTCCTGCAAAAACCAGGTAGTCGGTTGTTTGATGGGCAGTGTATATCAGATTGCCACACATCGCGGCTTTGCTTGTTCATCATTTTTATGAATTACGGTTTTTATTATTACATGTTTACTTTCATGGTATACTTTTCCAACAAACTTTTACCTCTCGATAAAACTAAATCTTTGAACTTCGTATTCGCTTGGGTTTTGGACGATATAAGTAATCAACACCCCTCGTACAGGGGGTTTAGTATTTTATTGAATTTTCGGCGGTTTTTATATTATACCTTCTTTAATTTCATAGAAACTTTTTCAATTTATAACTTTAAACTACTACCTAATGATTTGAATTTGTATTGCTTGCCTTGGTTTGTTTGTTTTCCCTATTTTACTCGTGATAACTGCCTTTTATGTCTACGACAAATTTGGGCTTTGCATGATTAGCATTCGAAGAATTCGGGACTTTTTATTACTCCATTTTTATTTTAATGGGACTTTTTTCTAACATATTTTATCTTTAATAAATCGTTTGAACAATATAACTCTATAACGCTGGTTGTATCTGTTCGTTTTTGCTGTTTTACTGTTGATAAAATCTCACAGAAAATCACAAGAATAACATCACACTTTATGCCCTGAAGATGACCCGAATACGTCGGCAAAAAATGAAAAAGCTGTTTTCTTAACTACTTCATTCTTGACCCGCTCCTTACGACTTCGACAAATCACAAACTTTAAAATACGTAATAAAACTTGATTTTTGAACTTTCTAACGCTGGCTTGGATCTTTTTTTTTTACCCATCAACCTTCCCGCCGTACCTGAGGGAGACCCCATACCGGCGGACCTCGGCCACTAGACTGACTTATTTTCTTGTATGGGGGAAAATGGAAGCTTAACGCCTTCCTTATGCCTCGCTCTAAACGAGGGGCACGAGGAAGGTTTGGGGTATATATATTTTTCCTCTCTGTACTACTTTAATTGACCTAATCTAATAGGTCTCCCCCTTGCTGGTTACTCCTTTTCACACAGTAATATCATACAATCATTACATAAAATTTCAAAACTAAAATGATAAAAACTATATAAAGTTACAAAACAATATAAATATACTAATTTAATGACTAAAGAACAATCACAGTTTTAGGTACTATATAACAATGTTAACTTATTTTTAAAGAAGTAACCAGCCCGGAATTATCTGTACTAAGGTTACACACTTAAATATATCACAGTTTAATCACAGGTGGTTTAGAAAGTTTTTTTTCAGGTACTTGGTTTACTACCCGCTAGGATGCTCTGTGTGAGCTGTTTGAACACATGATACGTTTGCTCGCTTTTCACAAGTTCCTTCAATTCTGGAGGCCATTTATTCTGAAAACTGTTTCGCAGGTCCTGACGAATTTGTACAAAGCTTGGGCAGAAGAATAGCTTGTGTCGTACGTCTTCACGAACATTGCATAACAGACAGTTTGGGGTATTAGCTCTCTTGAATTTGTGCAGATAAACTGCGAAGTTTCCATGCCCCGTAAGCATTTGTGTGGACCAAAAATCTGGTTGCACCCAACTCTGCTTTTTTCTTTCTTTAATGATGGGAAAGAACTCATAAGTAAGCCTGCCCTTGATACTACTTTCCCATCTGCTTTGCCAGGTGTCGGTTACCCATTCGTTCAGAAAAGTTTGGCGCTGGCTGTTGGGTGCATTTCTTAACCAATTCGCTTCATGTTCCTCTAAGCCGGGTAGTCCTGGTAGCAATCCCTTCTTCAGCTCTCTCTTTGCATTATGGACTTTTATGACCAAGTCAATAGGTGTTGCTATCATTAACACTTGGAGAGCGTGAGTGGAAGCCGTTCTGTACCCCTTCGATGTCCTCAGTAAAGCAATTCGCTGGGTTTGTTCTATTACCTGTTTGGTTTTACCTTGCAGTTTTCTTCCCCAGGATGCTGCTCCATACGTTGCTATAGGGATATATACGCTCTTATAGATCGTTGGCTGAGGTTGAGGCTTTGAGCTGAGCCCCCATGTTGATTTGGCTATCCTGCTTAATTTTGCAAAGGTACAGCGTGTGGATTCCGGGATTTTTAGAGCGTGTGGAAAAGAATTCAATCTCTCTCCTATAACAACGCCAAGGTATTTGACTTCATGGCTTGGTTTGATGTTTTTACCGTCTACTTTCACTCTAAGGGGGATGCCCATTGTCCCTTTCAATACGAGTATTTCACATTTGTCAGGAGCTACCTTTAGGTTTTTTGTTTGGCACCAATTGACTATAAATGCGGCTGCTCTTTCTGTTTTTTCTAAGACCTCTTTCCTTGTATTGCCTGCTATTATTATAACCAGGTCATCAACAAAGGCTACAAACTTGATGCCCGTCTCTTTTAGTTGTTGAAGGAGATGGTTGAAAAAGATGTTCCAAAATAGAGGGCCCAGAACGGATCTTTGTGGGCAACCTTTGGTGACTTTGTGAATAGTTTTGGTGTGCTTTGTTGAAATTTCCGCTGTTCTGTTGTCAAAGTAGCTGGCTATTAAGGTGAAAATGTTTTTTGGGCAGTCTATACCTTTAAGTTCATTTAATAAGTGAGTCTATTCTATGGCATCAAATGCCCCTTGGATATCAAAAAAGGTACCCACCACATATTTTTCCTCACTGTTGCTGACATCTTCATAAAATTTGCAAATTGCATCCTCAGTGGACATCTCTTTTCGGGCACCATACTGACATTCAGATATGTGTTCTTCAGCTATGGGCTCTAGCCTATATAAAATGAGCTTCTCAAGAATTTTTCCCAGGGCAGGGAGGCAGCAAATCGGCCTGTACGATGAT